ACGGGGACCAGAACTGTGCACGGTGCTCCGAGTGTGGGTCTAACTGACGGATACGGGGACCAGAACTGTGCACAGTGCCCCGAGTGTGGGTCTAACTGACGGATACGGGGAGTGCTGCCTGAGGATCTTTGGTGAATTTCTGCAGAGCATCTTGTAGATGGTACACACTGCTGCGACTGAGTGTCGGTGGGTGGAGGGAGTGGGATGTTTGTGGATGTGGTGCCAATCAAGCGGGGGCTGCTTTGTCCTGGATGGTGTCGAGCTTCTCGAGTGTTGTTGGAGCTGCCCCCATCCAGGGGCAAGTGGGGAGTATCCCATCACACTCCTGACTTGTGCCTTGTAGATGGTGGGACAGGGTTTGGGGGAGTCAGGAGGGGAGTTACTCACTGCAGTATTTTAGGCTCTGACACGCTCACAGTCTCTCACTCTCCCCCTCGGTCTGTTCCTCCCTCCGGGAGTAGGTGAGGTCACTCACGTCTAAGAGAAACTCCACAATGGTGTCCGCAGCGATCTCTCCGTCATACTCGATCACATTGTCCTCCTTAAAGACGTAGATACTGCCTTCCTCGGTCAAACCTGGAACACCGCAGATGGAGGGGAGAGGGAAAGGCGAGTGAGTGATCGCTGACCAACGGCAGACTGTACATTGACAGCACCCTCTGTCCCTCCCTCCCACAGCCGACATCTTCCCCATCCCTCACTCTTCAGTCCCTCCTGTTACTCTCAGAGAGAGTGATAGAGCAGACAATAGGTGGAGCTCTGTCCTCAATGCGTTGTGTTCTGCCCATCGACTTCCTCTGGCTGCTATCCCTCTGAACCCCCTCTACTTCTACATACGCACAGCCTCAGCAGCTCGCCTCGAGGGCCCCTCACCTCCCCCGAAGAGTCAACTCCTCAGCCCTCATCTCTCCTCAATTCCCCTCCACTCACTTCTCCTCAGTTCCCCTCCCCTCTCTCCCCTCACTCACTCCCCTCATTCCCAACTACTCTTCCTCCCTCTGCGGCCATATCATCATCTTCCTTTGTAACTCCCCTCGTCTCTCCATCTCCCCTCTGTTCCTCTCCAATCTCTTCCCCAGCCTTTACCTCTCCTACCCACCCTCCTCTCTCCTCCCTTTATTCCACACCCCTCCTTCTCCTCCCATTCACTGTCCTCCTACTCCTCACCTCTACTCCCTCCGCTCTCTCCCCATCTCCTCTCCCACCTCCCTCCCCTCCCACTGTCTCCTCCCTCCTCCTGCTCCCTCCTCCCTCACCGCGTGTCCCTTTCTCCCCTCCCACTCCCTCGTCCGACTGCGCCGCTCATTCCCGAACCTCCTCCTGTTCGGAGTTACCTCTCCCAAAGGGGACTCACCCAGTTTCTTTGCAATAGCCTCATCCTCCACTGCATCGACCAATCCGAAACCAATACTTTCGTCCTCAAGGACCTGTGCTGCAAGCTGAGGGGAGGGAGGGACGGAGGGAGAGAGGGAGCAAGGAGAGACAGAGAGAGAGAGCATGAGGTTTACCATCACAGGTCTCCAACTCCTGCTGCACTATCCATAGCTCAATATCAACCCAAAACAGAGACAACACGGGCAAAACACAGATAAAACGTGGAGGCAACACAGACACAACATGAACAGAACGGACACCGACAGAATGCAAACACAACACAGAGAGAACACAGATCGACCATGGACACAACATAAACCTAATACGGGCACAACATACAATGAACACGGACAGATCATTGGCCGTACATGGACCCAACACAGTCACACCATGGGCCAATCACAGACTGAATATGGACTAAACATAGACCCAAAACGCACAGAACATAGACAAAACATGTGGAGGTCATAGACCCAGGAAAGACAGAGCATGAAGAGAACACAGATCTAACATTGACCCAAGACAAGACAGACCATGGACCCAACACAGACAGAACATAGACCCAACACAGACAGAACACAGACACAGCACAGACAGAACAT